CAACCTGGCAGTATCCAAGCCCTCGTGCTTCCTTCGGGTGGCATGGCAGCTGGGCACCGGAAGGGTGTTACAGCTGAACGATTTTTTTCACCCTTTACAAATACTTATTTTTCCACTAGGCATTGTCACTGTTGGTAACAGTTAACATAGCTTCATCGGTTTCAACTAGATTGCGAGTTAAAAATAAAACCATTAAATTTATGGTGTCGAATTTTAACATGGACAGTTAAAACCATGGCGCGTCACGTGGCAAACTTGACGGCAAGATTTTCATTCTCATTACCTGACATTCTAAGACATCCAAATGAGACGTAGCTGCTCCATCTGAGAAATTCGTCGAGGCACTTTTTTAATATTCGCTTTAGATATTGAACTACGACGGCCACAAGTAGTCGCATGTTATCACCACATCTATGTGACAAAGAACCGAGAATCAATTGTTGCTAAGCCTGTGGAACCCGATAGAACATCGTCTTTCGTGCCTCCCGCAGTTAGAGAGACTTTAACAATGGAGTGTTTTCTCCTAAATAGAAGTGTCATTCAGACACTGTTCAGAGTGCTTGCCTTCAGACATCAAACGGCGTTTTCACGAAACCTCGCTTGTTTACTGCTAATTCAAAACCATGAAAAATTATTTTCAATTTTCTATATGGCGCTTAGTGAACTTTGTCACATCTACCCAATGCTGGCTTCTGGTGAGCAAAATTTCCCTGACTGGCAGTTCGCCATCATGATAACCAGCGTGTGTGAACCATAGTTCAGTCACCTCACAAGATTTCCGAGTTCCGAATAAGCCCGTCTTCGTTCAGCAACCGCCCCCAGCTCGAAATCAGTACGGGCATTGAAGTACATTTGTCATCTAATGAAGACCGTTGGGGGTCTTAGTACTTCATATGTCACGACTGGACTAGTCAGTATGCCTTGGAACTGAAAGTGGAACGGATTCCAACTCAAATATCTCGTAAATTGATGGGATGTCATGATGACGGTGAAGTTTTCTTCTTAATCCAAAGCCTGGAGGATTTAGGGAAAGGCTCATTCTCTCGCGATCTTGGATTTCAGTAACAATATTCATGCAAAAACATTGCTTCAACTACCACTTTAAACAAGCATTATGCCGTTAACCTGGATGAATTGTATGGAGTCCCCCGTGTCAGGTTATCCCACTCTAGGGCTTATTCTAAAGGATAGATACATATGACACCACCTTAGACCTCTCTTCTTAAATTACTACGCTTTTGTTACCATGAGGCGCTCTTTTGCTCCACTTAAACCTCGAAAGTAGGTAAATTTTGATTTGTCAAGTAACAAGAACGCACGGTTTGTCTGTGTTTGTGGGATAACCCTTCGGTTCTAACCCTTGGCGTAATTTTCCTAGCTGAGTGATATTTAGGAGTGGTGGAGAATCTCATCAGGTCTCCACGTGATACACTCTCGTGAATAGGCTATGTATTTTCGCGTTGTCTGTACTAATCCCTTCCAGGCCGTGTTTTGTATTTTCGCTTTACTTTCTGTGTATTGTTTCTTTCTTTATATTTATAGGAGTATGAAGCACACCAGGACAAGATTCTGGCAAAACTAAACCGCCATCACCTCAGTGCAGCTCTCACTCGTTCGTTGGAACAACAACTTGCGTTGAGCAGCACTCGTTCTCGGCCCTGTTCTAATGGTCGACTACATCATAACTCAAACCCTATTGACGGGAATGCGGATGCTGCAGCTAGTGAAGATGATATTTCCACGGTAAGTCTCTTAGGATTCTTGTCTGTATCGTACCAGTTCTCCTGGTTGCATTTTTTCTTTCATGCAATTGTTCATTCCCGTCGGTTCTGTAGCTTTGTGTCGCAAAACCCTTCAGCAATGAATCGTTTCGGCGGGGCGGAAAATCTCTCTCGGATAGATGAGTAAGCTAATATGGCAACGTGCTGACCAGTGATTCTGTACGAGCTAAAACCAGAGGCGGCTTGAGGTTAGTTGACGAAAACTGGCACTACAGTATATTTTCACAAAGGAAACTACTCAACGGTTGCTGAAGACGATAGTACTTCCTATCGAGAGCGAAAAGCATCGCAACCGGACCCAAGCATTCATGCCTTGAAGTTGTTAGCTCTCGAGGATTCGAAAGCGCAGTTTTTCTTTACCCGACAAACCACTTCACCTCACATGATCAATTCAGTTGCATTTATCAGCTATAAACCGTGTACTGCAGGCATATTGGTTCCAGATGCTACAGTTTCCATCATTGGAAAACGGGAGAGTGTGCGATATACAGCCAAGCGTTGGGGACGATAGCACATCTGGTTAGTTCGGAAACTGGGTAGCTTCGCGTTGAAGGCGGTAGCTTTGATGCACGAGCGCCATTCAATACGCGATTGGACCAGTTCTGCCAATGTCATTAAGCTACGTTAAGTCCCCGGGTCCCCATCCTGTGGGGCGGCATCTGTCGTCCCGATTGAGTTTACTGGTTAGTATTTTCGTACTTCGTTGCCAGGTCATACACTGCCACTTAGCACAGGGCTAGGCAAAAAGAGTACTGTGAGACTGTCTTCTGGCATATGTGGTACATTAACTAACCAGCGTAACCTATAAAGTGTAATTCATCTATCGCGGGAGAGTTCCTTTTTCCAGGACCATCTGGCGTACCTTAGCATTACTAATCCGATGTTTCCACCAGACCTGACCAATGCTTCGGAGACACCGATGATTAAACACTGACATCTTCCGCATGTCCTCTGCGCATGGAGCCGGCATCTCTGATCCTTAAAGCAGTATAGATCGCGCTGCCGCATTGTAAACTCTGCCCTTGACAAAGAGACTCACATCACGTCGGTGCCATAGGTGTCGGAGGTTGGCAAAAGCTGCCCTGGCTTTTCCGATTTGAGAAATAACCTCACCTTCAGCCAGTCGGGAACTTATACAACTTCCCACTTGAGCAAATTTATCGATTGGCCCATCTGCAAGCATGAAGTCTGGGTTTGATCCCACCCAGTCTTGTAGCAGCAATTTGCACTTTGCAGGTGTGAAACGGATGTCAAACCGCGCGGCAGAGTTATTTAGGTCATTTTAAATCGTCTGCATTTTTAAAGGACTTGAACCAAAGAGGGCGATATCGTCTGTATGCTCAATCTCTGTGAGTGAACATACTGGGAGCATTTCGACTTCCGACGTTTCGGAGATAGAGAAATTTCAAGCAACATATCAGTGACAAAGTTGAAGAGCGAAGGTGAGAGAGGGCAGCCTTGTCTTACACCACTGGACGTGGTGATCTCAGGCAAATGTTTGTCGTATTCTCGTACACGCCCACATGAGTTCGCATACAGTGCCCTCATAAGGGAGAGAAATTTTGAAGGGACAATTTTGATCTCCGTACACTGCCAAAGTTGCTGACGATCGACAGAATCAAAAACCGCTTTCAAATCAAGAAGAACGACCAACGTGGGACGTTTGAAGCAATAACTTGTCTCCAGGTAAAAATGTGGTCAATCCATCCTCTGCCATGCCGAAACCCAGATTGATTCTCACGAACTCGTCCGTCCTGATAATCCATCAATCTGCCCAAAATAGTGCCAGAGAGTACCCTAGATGCGGTGGCTACGAGGCTGATACCACGATGGGTTTCGCATGAAGTCAAGGAATGAAGTCAAGGAGCTCCGTTCGACTGGTATTATCTTTTCGTCTCAAATCTGTGTGGTCGTGCAACTGTTCACCAGGACCTAGTCACCTTTGAAGAGCACGGGATGCAGACCATCCGGGCCAGGTGCCTTGTCGCACTTTAGGATTGAAATCTCACGCCAGATCGGTTGCTGATGGCGGGTTGGTGTCAATGTTCCATTCGATCCCGCTTGGTTCTTCTAGCGGTTGTGTTGAAGGAGACTAGGTAAACTGTTCTTTGAATTGCTTAGCCCACCGCTCAAGACGACGATTGACGGAGTGGATTGCCGTTGTCTTTTTCGCCCATTGTTTCACTGGCACCTGCCCTTTTTGACTGATTGTTCGAGTAAGTTGAAACAGGGCGCGGCTGTTGCTTGCAGCGAAAACCTCCATCTCCTGGGCCTTCGAAATCCGCCATTCATCATCATCATCATCATTGTCAGCTGTAAGAACCGCGTACTCGTCGTACGGTGGTTGTAGCTGCCACAGTTTCGTTCACCGATGATTTAGGGGGGGGTAGGTAGCTGCGCATTGCACGCGCGAGCTGGCAAATTGGTGCATAAATCCAGCACTGTCAGTAGGCTGTCATGTGGGAGGGGGGTTGGAAAAGGAGCTATGCATTGAAGGCAATAGCTTTGATGCACGAGAGCCATTGAGGGCGTGACTGGGCCATGTCTGATAATGTCTCTAGCCATTGATGTGGCCCGTCTCGGGGTCCCCATCCAGGAAGACGGCAGTGA